AGAAGATACCGGCTCAAGATGTAAACACTCAACTAAATCACATATGTGACAAATCAACACAAAAAGGAATAGTACAGAATGGAGGTGTTATGAACCCTACCAGACGTAACTATCACAAGTGCTAAATCAATCACAATGAGAAGGAGAGGTACACAGGAATAGGTTGCGGTAGTTTACACGTCACCAAGAGTACTGAGGTGGTGACAAAGATGGGTGAAAAAGTAGACGCCAAGTGAAAGCCAACAAGTCATCACGGACGTCTAACGTCACATCTGAAGATTGCTAACTGCACAAGACAAATACTTAACGAACCTCGATGCTTGAAATTCAGCCAACGGTAGGTGAAAGGAAGGCTGCTGAGTGTGACGTAGAACTGTGGGCTGCTGAGGCGACGTGTCCATCTAGATCTTGACTGCAGGGTTGGCGTCTAACGCTATAACCCGAGCAGTAGATCACATCCTTCCTCTGATCAATGGCAGGTTTCCTGGTCCAGGAGAAGTCATAATTCTTTGTTGCCATCTTCCATAGGTCCGTCGAATAGGAGTAATAGGTTTTTCATTTGACCCGACGAGACCACAAGACGCTTGCAGATCACAGCACGAACAGTTCACCAGCCACACTCCACGAAACGCTATCTTATGGAACAAAACAAGACTTGTCAGGAGTAATACTACTTGCTTTTGTGGAGTGTGGCTGGTGAACTGTTCGTGCTGTGGTCTGCAAGCGTCGTGTGGTCTCGTCGGGTCAAATGAAAAACCTACTACTACTATTTGACGGACCTATGGAAGATGGCAACAAAGAATCAATGATGTTTGCAGGGAAAATATTGGCTATCTCCACACTGAGCAAACACTGATGCAGGCACCAAACCGATTCTTACAGTATTTTTTTTCGATATCATAGACAGTGTGCTGCTCAGAACATTATATACAGTAACCGAAAAAAACATTGTTGGACTTGCCTGAAATGGATGACTCTCATTGGCAACTTTATGTTGTTATTGTTGTGATGTACGCAGGAGCTTTCCGTTCTGGTGGAATCTTACGACGAATCATCCGTGTCTGGCATTCTGCCAATCCTTGTCAGCATGCTGCAGTCGCTGGATGGAGCCTTGCGCGATTTGAACCAAACGCAGAGTGTGCTCGATGAGGTAGGAGCGGGCTGTTTCTCTTGGTGGATAGTAGAACCGCCCTTAGCTGACGGCTCTCCAGGCTCTCATTCTACACTTCTGCCATCAGGAGAATTCTGTCCCGAATGTTCGCAGTTAGAGTTGTTGTCAATTCTGCTGTCAGGACTCATTGCTAGCTATAGAGGTGTCGCAATGTACATGATAATAAATTATGTATATGCCTGGTCCGACTTTGTGCTAGTGAGGCACGGGTAGACGTAACATTTGTACCTTTTAAGAATATCCGGGGGGGGGGGGGGGGGGTGGTGGGAGGGGAGAGAATGCTGTGCTGCTACGCAGTGGCTGCGTTCGATTATGCACTTGAATCGATTCATGAATCCATTCGCATGCATTCAAGTCATTTGATTTTCATGTCATGACCCTCGAATCGATTCGGAATCCATTCACCCTATTCACATGGGGTGATGTGAATAGCGCGAATCGATTCATGAATAGATTCGTGAATCGATTCGTGTGCATAATCGAACGCACTCACCGTGTGTGTGTGTGTGGGGGGGGGGGGGGGTATGCGAATGCCTTCAAAAGCACAACACTGTGCAAGGATTCATCAGATGAGGGTGTCGAAAAGTAGGCAAATAAGTATTTGTTCTTTCTCCGCGTGGCATTGCCCACCCTGCAGATTGCTGAGGACAACGAGCAACTCCACGCTCAGTTCGAACGTGAACGCAAGCATCGTCGCGAGGAGCAGCAGAAACGGTTGGAAGCTGAGGACGCAGTTGAGTCAGAACGGCGCGAATACGGTGATGAGCTGGACATGCTCAGGCAGAACAACCGACGCCTTCAAAAGCAACTCACCACCACGAAGGATCAGATGAAAAGGTCAGGAATGCACATGGTTGGGGCTTGATGTGCTGCTGTCTGCAATACCCACCTTATCAGGAATGCACATGGTTGGGGTCTGATGTGCTGCTGTCTGCAATACCCAAGGTCTCAGGAATGCACATGGCTGGGGTCTGATGTGCTGCTGTCTGCAATACCCACCTTATCAGGAATGCACATGGCTGGGGTCTGATGTGCTGCTGTCTGCAATACCCACCTTATCTGCTGCTGTGTGTGAGGTTGTGTGCTATGTTATACGTGTAAATCCGTATTGCAGAGGTGAAAATAGTACAGTCCTGCTCATTGAAATCCGATCTAATGAGTCCAGTACACCTCGGGTGCTTTCAAGTTTGCAGTCCTAGACCTGTCAACACTGCACTGTGAAAAGTTGCAGGGCGCAGAATGGACCACTTGCCATTTGTGCAGATCCACGAAATCCCGTAGAATCCCGTAGACCTGGAAGGGTGTTGAATGTGCAGGACCCTATTGTGTTTTCTGCTATTTCCACTAAGAAATGGGCCCTGAAGGCATTTCATACGAAAACCTTTTTCTGACAAAGATCTAGCTAGTCATTAGTTCTAACCAAAGTGAAGAAGCTGGAAAAGTGATTGCTGGTCATTGAATTATGACACGAAAATTGGTCAAATGCGCATGCATAGCACACATTCAACACCCTTCCGGGTCTACGGGATTCTACGGGATTTCGTGGATCTGTATAAATGGAAAGTGGTCCATTGACTAGCTCGGTCGGATTTCACTGAGCATCACTGCAGTAGCGTACACGTGCTGGTACGTTTACTGGTTGCTGTCTGCTGTTTCAATACTTCTACTGATGTGTTTGTTAGGTGGTAGTGTGATAGTCCACGAGCGTTGATATTGGTATTTACGTTTACCGGTACCATCATGGCCGTACCCGCTGTACAGGTGGCCCCGGCCTGCTTGCTGTCGGTGGAGCTACGGCTGTCTCTGGAGCTTCTAGAGGTTTTAGTGTCCGCCGCTGCTGCTGCTACCGCTGAGGTTTGGTTGCTTTTCTGGCTACTGATATGGTGACTGGGTTGTTGGTACGGGTGGTGTGGTCTTATTACTGCCGCAGGTCTGAGGACAAGCTGGTTCAACTGAGGGCCGACCAGACAGAGCTGCGAAGCAAGTACACGCGGGTCAACCATGCGCTGCAGCTGACCATGCAGCGCGAAAAGCGTGCCTTCTCGCGCCGGACAAGTACCAGCACTTGTACGTACATGTACTTACATCGTAATCTTGGACCACCCCCTCTCTCAGCCCAGTAGGCCCTGCATGATTTGCAGACAATATATTTCGGTTCTCCAAGATTCTAATGAGAGAATGTTTGTTTGAGTGTTGATGTGTTTCGAAACCAAGCTGTTCACTGACACTGTGTGTATAATTATACCCATATGCTGGTGGGTGAGACCCTGTGGAAAGGATGGGACAAGCTAGATGTTGTATCTCTGAGTTCCACACACGGGCGATCATGCTGGAGAAGTGGTCTTGATATGTGTGTGACTGTCTCCTCCCTGCTAGTAATACTAGCAGGACAGTCGGATGTGCCGTGTACTAACACAATGGTATTGTCTGTATGCCTGTGCAGTCTCCGAATCGCCTGTACCACCATCAGTGATAGGCGAGGAAGTAGAAATGGCACAGTCCCTTCCCGCCAGCACACTGAGCCGACGTACCTCTCTTCCCGTCATGAACTCCCCGACTCCCCTGGAGGCGACGGGTGCATCGTACATGTCCGCTATCCCGGTGCGCCAAGCGGCAAAGGGAGGACACCGCAACGAGTCGGCATTCACGGACGAAATGGCGTCGGCACACGCGGTGACTAGTCGCACGGTGCCAGCCAGGAAGGGAGTGTTTCATCCGGTTGCCTCCTCGTCGCCGATGAGAAGCGGCCAAGAAGGCCGTGGTGTGCAGGGCCTGGCACTGCAGGAGGGCGATAGCAGCATGCTGTCGTCGGTGAAGATGGAGTTGGAGCAAGCCAATACTCGGATAACATCAGTGAAAGAAGAACGTAAGTTGCACTGCTTATAGTCTATCTCTCTGCTCTACATGTACACACAAGAGTACACACAAGAGATGGTGGAGCAGTGTGTCATGCAACGCCATACTCACTCACTGGCAAACGCTGTTCCACCTTCTCTTGTGTGATAGTGCTTTGGCCGGGTGGGTATCGAGCACTCTTGTGCCGGGCAGTGGAAGGCATCTTCTGTACTGTCTACCTCTGCTGCACTGTGAATCTCCACTGTATGGTAGTGATAAGTGCATAAAGGAGGAAACAGCCCTGTCCATGGATCAAGTGGATTATGCTGTATGTGTGCAGCAAACCCTGTCTTGCTCAGCGTGGCCGGTGGGAGATTTGAAAGTCAGCCGTTGTGACGTGGGTGTGTATGCATATGTTACTGAACTATCGATCACCAATAGTTCAATTACTTCAGTACACCAACAGAGTGATGAGCAATGGCTTGGTATGATGTAACGCTGCATGTTATAACTCAACTGTAGTCTTTGCTGCAACTCTTCTCATCCCCTTCTTTATATCGCAGCCGAGAGAGCGAGCTCGGCGGAGCCCGATGAGCCGGAAACGCCGACTGCCGACCGATCGCTAGCATCAGAACAGGACATAACACCAGTCGGTGATGAGGCAGCACATGTACGGTTTGCACCGGCATCAGATGAGCACGGCCTGGAAGATGGTGAGCAAGAACAAGAGTACTCTGATGAGTGTGGTGCATTCTAGCAGATACTAGTAGTATTACTGCTACTACTACATGCATTCTAGTACAGAATACCACATGTGCACACACACACACACACACACACACACACACGTGCGCACCCACACACCCACACCCACACATGCACGCACACGCGCACACACACACACACACATACACACCCACACACACGCATGCACGCACACCCACACACACACATGCACCCACACACACACACCCGCACACACACACACACACACATGTACACACACACACACATGAACACACACACAAACACGCACACACACAGCTTATATATAATAACAGTTGATGAGGAGGCGTCTGTGACACGTGCAAGGTCCAGTTGGATTACTGCTACTAACCTTCCATCGCTCACATGTAGGGCACTAGACACAGTCAACAACTGCTGTGAATTCCGTGTACTAACCTAGTACCAAGCACGGAAACTCTGATCTAACATGCACCGGATGAAGTGTTGTATCGTATGCTCGGTACATACCCATACCATGGCATAACAACTCATGCCAAGACCCGTAGGCATGATTAGAACACACATGTGCTCTCAGCTCGCGTTGGTTTTCACCGCAATCCTTCCACGTGCACAGAGCCCATCACAGCAGAGAGCGTCGTTGCCAGGGCTTCCAGCGGCTACGATTCGCTGACGGGGAGCACCGAGCTGACGGCTCGATCACACGACGAAGACGACGAGCTTGAATATGAGAGGCTCATCCAGGCTCAAATGCGTGGCAGCGCTAGTAGCGGTGATGACGGACAGGCGGCGAATGACCAATCGTTCAGCCAAGAGCTGGGCCAGTTCGTCACCGAAGAAGGCTCGCTGCTGGATATTGACCCCGGTGCTGACATCACGGTCATGGATAGTGAGAACTTGGTCAGGCAGGTAGGTGATTACTGATAGGGACTTCAACCGGCACAGGACATACATGTATGCACAGCACACTACTTTTTATTTATTTTTTATTATTAGCGTCTACAGCTGTGAAAGTACTAGTATTCATTGGCTAACATGGGATAAATTGTAACATGGAAAAATGTGGGCACAATTACAATTACAATTTACAATAATACAATTGTATTACAATGCTTTCCTTGGCTTACCATCTGAGTTCTAAAAACATGTGATCGGTTTCAATTGTTTTAGGCCATCATTTTTTATATCTATGTTTCGCGTCGTCCGCACGCATATGTTTTGCCTTTTTTCGGAAAAAAATAAAATATATCGAACATGCACAGTGAGTGTACGATGGTGCGAATCATCACTGATTCAGTGCCGACTGGGTGCATACGGCGAAGCTGGGATTCAGAAATGGCCTCGAGGCCAGCGTTGGTAAATCGTTTGTTCGGCATCTGCGAGCAGTATTCTTTGAGCTTACACCAGACCGCATCGATCGCCTCAAGCTGAGAGGATGCGTCGTTCCGGACCTCTTTGCACCGCTGCTGAAGTCTGAGTACAATAATCCAGCGAAGCATGGGCACCAACGGTTGCCTCCTCTGTCCAAAGTGAATATTTACTCACGCTGATAACCCAGATGTTGTGCTTGGATGTACAGTAGGATTTTTCTTTCGAATGTACACCATGCACAAGGTATTGTGCTATGTACAGTGCTATACCTGATGAGCCTTTTTTTATTATTTTGCAATTTTTTATTTTTTTCCACCTCTCGCATATGATTCTGGAAGTTGAACTGACGCGAAACATAGATATAAAAAATGATGGCCTTACTTGCCCGCGAGTGGTCCAGGCTTCCATTCTGCACTACACCTGCCTGGACTAACCATACTGTTCTAGACAGAGAGACATACACCTGTTGTGTATGAAGTAGACAGTGCAGGAACTTGTATGTGTGCCTCACGATGAACGTCTATTCGCTTTGTGTTCTTTGCCAGATTCATGACCTGGACGTGAAGAAGAATGAACTGGAGTCGGTACTCACGGAGCGCGATGCCAAGATCCAGGAGGTAATACTTGCATTGTTGAAGGCGTAAATTGTACTTCAGGCTTTCCATTCAAAACCTAACAGTTACTACAGGAGTACTGCTTATCCATTGCTATCAGTCCCGTGCAGGTATTAGAACAGCGGCCACGTCTTGGTTGCTTCCACGTTGCAGTGCTCTTGCTCGGATCTGTGTCAGTGTTGCTCTGTGTGTGTGTGTGTGTGTGTGTGTGTGTGTGTGTGTGTGTGTGCGTGCATGTGCATGTGTGTTTACGTGTGTGTGTGTGTGTGTGTGTGTGTGCATGTGCACACATGTATGCATCCTGATTACCCACTCTCTGACTTACCAGACTATAGTGCTTTGCATGCTGACCGTCCGTTCTATCTCCTGTCTTGGCATTGTTCTACGCTGTTTTGGCTACGTGCAGCTTGCCACTGAGCAAGAGATCTTGCAACAACACACGGACTCCATTGAGAAGCAGCGTGCAGAGCTGCATCAGAAGATCTCCGCCCTGGAGGAGACCATGCGCGAGAAGGACAACAAGCTGGAAGAAGCAATGCAACGCAAGGACAGCAGCAGCGACGTAAGCACCCCAGCTGAACACACCCTATTCCTCAAGCACCCCAGCTGAACACACCCTATTCCTCAAGCAACCCACCTGAACACACCTCAAGCAACCCACCTGAACACACCCTATTCCTCAAGCACCCCACCTGAACACACCCTATTCCTCAAGCACCCCACCTGAACACACCCTATTCCTCAAGCACCCCACCTGAACACACCCTATTCCTCAAGCACCCCACCTGAACACACCCTATTCCTCAAGCACCCCAGCTGAACACACCCTATTCCTTTGCTGCTGCTGCTGAGCCATCCTTGTCATTGCACTTACTACATATGGAGTGAAGGGGAATCCCCATCTGTGAAATTTAGAAAGTGATCCCCATTTCCGATGAAAACCAACTATCTGCTCCTGCGTGTGGTGTAGTTGTAGAAACATCTTTGAAAGAACTTATTTGAATTGTTGCCTTCTGGCGGTCTGTGCTACGGTGTTGCTGTACCCAGGAGCCTCTGTTCCCCGGTGCAGACGAGGACTGGCGTGTTAACCGAGAGAAGGGACGTCGCTTTACGCGCGCCGAGATGGGACGCGTGGTGAGAGAGCGCAACGACTTGAAGGTGAGTGAGTGCTCATTGATTACAGGACTACATGTAGCAGCAGTCTTGACTGCAGTTGATAGTGTCAACAGATGTGTATATCTCATAACTAACCTGCATAGTGCAGCACATATCCTGGGCTTATCCTGTATGTCCGTGCCCGTGCAATGCATGGGTGATTCGGTGCAAGACTCCGACTTAGCTGCATCATGGCTGCGGTATGCCTGTTGTAATGCTGCACATGACATGTGTTGAGCCGCGCTTTACTGCAATAATCTAGATCACAAAGTACGCCAAATGCCCGGTCATCCAGCATGCTTTCAGCAATGAACGATACCGAGGAGAACTCAGTGGCGTATTCGCCATGTCCTTGTGTTCTTTGCTGTCCACAATCGATACTATGGCTGCAGGAGAAATTCCTGGCGATCAAGGAGGAGCTTGAGCTGCTGCGTAAACAACTGGATGAGAAGAAGCCATCCCCTAAGAAGGGCAAAACCAGCTTGTGGAAGACGATCGTATCCATGTTCACGAAGAAGAGTCCCACTACTCGCAAACGCTCCGAGACAACACCCGTCCCGACAGGCGACGGTATGCGCCTGGAGAGCATCGAACAGGGACAGGATGTTGCCACTGCTGCGGAGACACCGATGGAGGAAGCGCAGTCGCTCACATTCGGTAGGTATCCCAAAAACCTGTGTGTGATTTTGGACAACCTAGGTTTATAGAGTTTCATTTGTACCTACAGAGGATTCTACACATGTGTTATGACACCTGCGTTGTAAGACTACAGGCATAAATCAGAAAGGTTTCAGGCTTCGGGTTCCAGGCTGTTCGAAATAGAGTGCTCGATGCCCAAGGGCAGAGCTCATACAGTAAAACCTGCGACTAAGGACCACCCCTTGGGGCCAGAGAAAGAGCGGTCTTTAGTGGCAGGTGGTCCTTAGTTAGAGGTTTGCACCGCACAACCATAATGAATGCGAGACCATCCGTGCCTGGTGAAGTGGTCTGCAGTACCAGGCTGGTCGCTAGTCACGGTGGTCTTTAGTTACAGGTTTTACTGTACTTCGCAACATGAAGAAGAAGAGGATGAAGAGTGTGTTGTAACTCTGAGTGTCACGTACCAGGCGATCACCAGACAACATACTACACGTGTTTTACGAGTAGGGCTGAGTCCGTGCACTCTTGGGGCTGATCCATGGGGGGGGGGATTACGAGGACTGATTCCGTGCACTCTCTTCGGGGTGATCCATGGACCAGGCTTGCGGCTGGTGATGGCAGATCTGCTCCCAGAGCAAAACCTAGTATAATCTGTCTAGAAGAGGCAGCATTCAATGGATTCCTGCTCTGGGAAGCCGACAAGATGAGCTGCTTTATGAGGGCAGTGAGCATGGACGGCTGGCACAGGCTTTGAAGGAATAATTATACCCCTAGCCTTACGGCCATTGTACTCTGAGAGTATTTCTGTATCTGACGGTTGAAACAAACCCTCTGCATGTGTGTACTTGTGCAGATGAGTCACGTTTCGATGCGTACGGCTGGAGTTTGCCGGCCGACATGAGGCCAGTGACATCGCCGGATGCTTCGCACGACGGTGGCGCTAGCACGTTTCAGGCTATGTCCGCCCAGTCTTCCCTCAGCACAGTGCCCGTGCTGACACACTCCAGTCCCATGGTGGCGTCTGAAGAGCAGGTGAGAATCAGCTCCTACAGCGCCACAGTGCTATACCCACAGTGTGCAAGCCAGTGAAAGCAGTGCCAGTAGTGAAAGCCAGTGAAAACAGTGTGAATAGTGCAAATAGTGCGAATCAGTAGAGTTCGTACTCATGACTTCAGTACTAAACTAGCGCTATGCACCCTGCAATGTTGCTTGCCTGTACTATGGCTACGTAAAAAGCCCATAGCCCTGCACCCAAATCATCCCTGTACTTGGCTCATACACATTATTGGTCACTTTCTACTGGCTGGTGCTATGTGGTGTAAAGAGTCTAAGACTGTCCAGTAGCTCCTAATATGTGTCATGTAGATCTACACTGTGCCGTGACCAAGTGATGTGGTGTGTGTGTGTGACCAAGTGATGTGGTGTGTGTGTGTGACCAAGTGATGTGGTGTGTGTGTGTGTGACCAAGTGATGTGGTGTGTGTGTGTGTGACCAAGTGATGTGGTGTGTGTGTGTGACCAAGTGATGTGGTGTGTGCGTGTGACCAAGTGATGTGGTGTGTGTGTGTGACCAAGTGATGTGGTGTGTGTAGATATCGTACATGCAGTTGTATGTAGTACTATGTACGCACGTGCAGGCATGCCGTGCTTGTACCGCTTTATGTATAGCACGAGAGAGATGACATGGCGCACTTCTGATAGAGAACTAAAGAAGATCTGTTTAGCACAATGGCTGTCTTGTGAGTGACTGAATAGATGTCTACATTGGCGCAGTGAACGAAAATGACAAAGGGCAGGACGCCCAAGGAATTTATTCCTGACTATGCTGCGAGCAACGTCGGTGCTGATTTTGAACTCTGGCTCGAGGACATAAATGATTTCCTTTCAATCAGTGAAGTGACGGCAGCAGCTGACAAGAAACGCTTGTTCTTGAATCTGGCTGGATTAGCAGTGAGGCGCATTGTGAAAGGTCTGGTTGTCACGGTGGAGCAGACACAAGATGGCTCACCTGGAGATGAGTACCAAGCCTTGACGGACGCATTGTTGGCACACTTTCGACCGTCAACAAATGTCACGTCTGAACGTCACAAATTCCGCCAACTCCGCCAAATGGAGGGCGAGTCGGTGACTTCGTTCGTTGGGCGGCTGAGAGAAAAGGCAGATGTTTGCGAATTCAGCTCCACTTCTGTGGATACCATTGTCAACTGCCAAATTCGCGACCAGCTGATCGTGGGCCTGCGTTCTGTTGAGCTTCGAAAGGAGCTGCTGAAACAGTCGAAGCTGACCCTGAACGACGCCGTCACCAAGTCAGTGGCGTTGGAAGCGTCGATTACTGACAGTAAACTGTACGATAGTACCAGAGCTAGTGACGCACCGCCTGTGTTCCCCGTGCCCATCCAGCGTGTGCAAGCTGTCTCTGCAGCTGGTTCTGGATCAGAGGGAAAGAAGTGCAAATACTGCGGACGTAGTCACAAACCAGGCATGCGTAACTGTCCTGCGGCCAACGTCACCTGCAACAAGTGTGGCAAGCGAGGGCATTTTGCAGCGGTCTGCATGTCAAACAAAGTGGAAAGACACGAAGAAAGAGCCCGGCCAGTAGAGGATGAGCCTGATGAATATGAGCATGCAAGTCGCATGTACGACTCCGCTTTCGCCGTCAGTAGCTATGCACTCGCTGGCGACAAGACATTCCAGACTACACTCAAAGTCAATGGTGAGCTGTGCACTGGACTGTTAGACACAGGTGCAACTCGGACGATCCTCACTGATGATGTGATCAAGCCCACGCGCAAGAGTGACCGCTTGCTGAAAGCGTACAATGGCGGTGTCGTAGAGACTTTGGGCATGGCTGACGTCCACATTTCACATGGTGGCAAGAACGTGAAGTGCAGTTGTTTCGTGGTAGCAGCCAGTCAGCACTCCGTTCTCTTCGGACAGGATGTCATCAAGGAGCTGAACCTCCTGTCACAAGCAAACGTGGTGAACGTGTCACCCATCGAAATCTCTCTGGAAGACGGTTCAAAGCCTCTAGCCCAGCCACCACGACGCCCAGCTTTCAGTATCCGGGCTGACATCGAGACCGAGCTGAAACGGCTGACCAAGTTGGATATCATTGAACCCGTCAAGGAAGCCACGCCGTGGGTGTCACCACTTGTTCCAGTCCGCAAACCGAATGGAGCATTGCGACTATGCGTGGACTACAGAGAACTGAACAAGAGAGTTACACGTGAGCGCAACGTTCTTCCAACCGTTGACGAGATCACAGCTCAGCTTGATGGCGCAGGGGTCTTCTCAGTTCTGGATGCGGAATCTGGATTCCATCAGCTACTCTTGTCAGAAGAAGCAAGGCCTCTAACGACTTTCTCATCGCACTGTGGCCTGTTCCGTTTCAAGCGTTTACCTTTCGGTATCGCATGTGCGCCTGAGATTTTCCAGCGAGTGGTGTCCGACATTCTGGAAGGCCTGCCAGGAGTCATCGTCTACATCGACGACATCCTAGTGTTTGGCTCCAATCAAGCAGAACACGATGCACGGCTAGAAGCAGTCAAGCAGCGACTGCGAGCAGCTAACCTCCAACTCAACTGGACCAAGTGCCGACTGAACCAGGACCGTGTGAAGTATCTGGGACATTGGCTAAGTGCGACCGGCTTGTCCCCAGATGATGACAAGTTACAAGCCATCCAGGAGCTGGCCCCTCCGAAATCTATCTCTGATGTGCGACGGTTCCTGGGGATGGCTACGTACCTTGGAAAGTTCATTCCGAACTTGGCCCAGATCACGGCTTCTCTGCGCAGGCTAGCAAAGCGTGATCCCTTCAGTGTGGATGATGAAGTCCTGCAGGCATTCACCTCAGCAAAGGCTGGTATAGCGTCAGCTTTGCAAGCGTTGGCATTCTTTCAACCAGCATTAGACGTCCCTACTGCTATCAGCTGTGATGCATCGCCAGACGGTTTGGGAGCAGTCCTGTGGCAGAAGAATACCAGTGGCTGTTGGGTACCAGTGACATGTGCCAGTCGCTCTCTATCAGATGTTGAGTCACGCTATTCTCAGCTGGAACGAGAGATGCTGGGAGTGGTATTCGGCCTGACTCGCTTTCGGCAGTATGTACTAGGCCGAGAAGTGCAAGTGTTTACGGATCACAAGCCGCTTATTTCTATCGTCCAGAAGCCGTTCGACGAAGTGCCACCGAGGCTTCAGAGATGGCTGGTCGCATTGATGCCCTATCGCTACAGCTTGGTGTTCGTCCCTGGCCAGCAGATGGTTTGTGCTGACACCCTCTCTCGAGCTCCTCTACCTGATCGCACAGCTTCACCTGCAGAGGCACGTTCAATGGCGGAATTCGTTAGTCTCATTCTCGAGGCTTGTCCGGTTCGTTCCAAGGATATTCGCCAGGCCACGGACTCTGATCCGACACTGAGCAGCGTCCGACAAAGAGTGGGCACATCAGTTTGGTCAGGGTGCATCCAAACGGAAGAGCCTTACTTCCTGCTACGCCATCAGCTGACAGTCATTGAAGGGATTGTCATGCTAGACAATCGCTACGTCATTCCAGAAGAGCTCCGCCCAGCGGTGCTGCGACTAGCACATGAAGGTCATCCAGGCATCGATGCATTCCGGGATACCCTTCGCGAACGGGTTTGGTGGCCAGGTCTCATGAAGGATGCCAATCTGTTTGCAGAGAAATGCTCTGAATGCTGGCGTAAACGCTCCAATCCAGCGCAACAGCTCCTCCCTACAGAGATAGAAGGTGTCTGGCAGAAACTGGCCATTGACCTTGTTACCATTGAGGGAGCCACGTTCCTGTCTGCTATTGATTATGGTTCCCGCTGGCCAGAGCTTCTACCACTGTCCAATACTACGACAACGGGTGTGATCGACAAGCTGATGGAGTTGTTCGCACGGTTTGGTCTGCCTTCAACACTCGTCTCGGATTGGGGCCCACAGTTTGCATCCACTGAGATGTCCAAGTTTCTCGCTCAGTTGGGTGTTGAGCATTGCAAGTCTAGCCCCCGGTATGCCCGCTCTAACGGTATGGTGGAGCGACTACATCGTCTGGTGAAAGAACGAGTTGCCAGCCTGAGACCTCATCTACCGCTACACCGCCGCATCACTCAAGTCTTGTTCGACATTCGCAATTCGCGGCACCGGATGCTAGGTACATCGCCGAGCGAAGCGTTGTTCAGCAGAGTCATTCGGACACGGGTTCCAGCATCCATCACCCCACAGATCGTCAACCCATCTGAGCAGATCAAGGCGAAAGCAGCAATGGTTGAAGGTCATGACTCGCGCCGAGGTGTCCGCAAGTTACCCCATTTGCCATCAGGTACGCGGGTAGTGCTCCATGATGGGTACAGCGACCCTCGAAAAGAATGGAAGGTAGTAGAGCAGTATGGTCGTCAGGTTGGGGTCACTGATGGGTCACGCATACTGCTCCGGAACCGTCAGCATGTTACCGAGTTTGTAGCACCAGCAGCAGCAGCAGCGGAGAAAGCACCCATGAGTGAACCTCCGGCACAGTCAGAGAGGGAGCATGTGCCAGAGCCAGTGTGTGCTCCAGCACTGCCAGTGTCCGACCCAACAAGCCTTCCGTCAGCGAGCAGCGCAACATCCAGGCCCGAAGCTCCGGTAACTGCGCTCACATTGCCGTTGTCTCCTGCAGCTTCACCGGAGACGACAGCATCACCTGCAACACCGGCCTGTATGTCACTGTCACCGCCAACTTCTCGTCCAAGTGTATTCCGTGAGGGCGTACAGACCAGAGCTGGCCGTCAGATCAAGCTTACAGAGAAAGCACGTGAAGCTGACATCTGAGTCGTCGAGTCATGCATTACCAAATGAGTGGCTTCAATCGCTACCAGATTGGCGTTGTTTAGAATCTTCTAACCAGATTGGCGTTGTTTAGAATCTTCTAACTACCTTGTGAATATTTAGATTTTTCTTTATTTTTTCCCCTTATTGGTCGAGTTTGCATTGTAACTCAAACTCATGGTGTTTTTGCCTCAAGTTTTGAGTCAGATTATTTCTAATAGTTGCAACACTTCCCGTCTCTCTTTTACTCCAACACATGTACGTACATTCCTCTGCAAGCTGCAGGATACGGATGCAAGTGTTTTTTTGTTTGTTTTAGTTTTCCTTTTTTCTCTTTCTTCTTTTTTTTTTTCTTTTTGAGGGAAGGGGGGTAATGTAGATATCGTACATGCAGTTGTATGTAGTACTATGTACGCACGTGCAGGCATGCCGTGCTTGTACCGCTTTATGTATAGCACGAGAGAGATGACATGGCGCACTTCTGATAGAGAACTAAAGAAGATCTGTTTAGCACAATGGCTGTCTTGTGAGTGACTGAATAGATGTCTACAGTGTGTGCGTGTGACCAAGTGATGTGGTGTGTGCGTGTGACCAAGTGATGTGGTGTGTGCGTGTGACCAAGTGATGTGGTGTGTGCGTGTGACCAAGTGATGTGGTGTGTGCGTGCGTGACCAAGTGATGTGGTGTGTGCGTGTGTGACCAAGTGATGTGGTGTGTGCGTGTGTGACCAAGTGATGTGGTGTGTGTGTGTGACCAAGTGATGTGGTGTGTGTGTGTGTGACCAAGTGATGACGACGTGTGACTCTCACTAATCCAAGTGTGACTTACCAGCCAGCAATAGTGTATCCCTATGCTCCCGGTTGCTTCTACACCGGCCTTGTTGATTTCACACCTCGGGAACCTCGCTGGCAAATAGTGAGGATCACACAAGACATGTACGTGTAGAAGTAGTGAGGTAAAACTCATGCTAGTTCCACTCAAAGTTGTAGAGCTATATTTGCACTGTACGGTGTCAGAGACACCACCTATATATCCATGAGTTCCACCGCTGTCCTCTCTTTCCTAGCCTGGTATTCTCAATACTGGTTCTCTCTCTCTCTCTCTCTCTCGCTCTCTCTCTCTCCCCGGCTCTCCCCGACTCTCTCAGACTCTCTCTCTCTCTCTCTCTCTCTCTCTCTCTCTCTCTCTCTCTCTCTCTCTCTCTCTCTCTCTCTCTCTCTCTCTCTCTCTCTCTCTCTCTCTCTCTCTCTCTCTCTCTCTCTCTCTCTCAACCACTCACAGTGTCTAACACTGGCGATATGTTGTCCCGTCGTCTCATCACAGTGGTGTTAATCTGGTGTTGCGTCTTCCGTGCATACACACAGGAGCAGTACCTGCAGGCGGCCAACAAAGTCTTCAGCGCTGCGGCGGTGTGTTGTACGCCGCAGAGCAACCCGTCTCTGTCACCGTCCGACATGGTCTGTCCCTCTTCTCTAGTGTGGCTGTGTGTAGGTAAGCACCGCTGTGTGTGAAGAGAGGAGCGTGGAGAGTGCGGGCTGAATCCGAATGTCTACACAAATTTTACCTGGTGATCGCTTTTAGTGTATTTCAATAGCATGATTATGTGAGTAAAATGCCACATTAACCCTTTACCATCCGTGCGTACTTGAATCGATCTCTAGAGATCGATGGACATGCATACACTATAACATTCGTAACTCGATCGATTCTTGTCGGAATTTAAATAACTAAGTATGTAGGAAGAAGCCGAAGAGCTCAGCTTTCCATTGCATCATTCGATGAAGAGCTGCGATGTCGCATTCCAAAGATATTCCGCTCGACATTTCGGCCACGGCAAAAGTCGAATTTCTTTCCGAGTGACTGACCTTGAGCGGGGAATTTCCCCTCTCCTGACATGCTGAGTCACGTTTGCATGCTTTGAGTGCGTGGGCAGCATGAAAAGAAACTCAAGCAAAAAATGTGGATTGTTTACGATGAAGGAGCGAGAAATGGCTGGCGAGGAGAGAATTTCCTCGTATATCAAGCGATGGGGTGTATTTGAAGCTCCCTGGAGCTGGATATGTGATCTTGGTAGTGTCCTGTTTGAGCTCAATGGACGCAGCGCATGGAGAGCTTTCCAGAATGCCCAAGTTTGTGAAAATTGGTTGATTAGAACCGAAGATATTCTCAGAATAAGGTGAAAATTATTGCATTTGGGACTGCTGGGGAAATTTGGTCGGATGGTAAAGGGTTAAACAGCTGTGGCGTGATTGTTATGTTAACTCTGATTATAAATACGTATGGATTATACCGTTAGTTCGAGGGTATACCGCCTAATAATTTCACGAGTGCTTAGCACGAGGGGGAAATGAGGGACACAGTATACACAGAGTACGAATGATATAATCCGTTTATTTTATCCCATGGTACTTTCCCAGATCTAGACCGGGACCAAAACCAAAGCTCCCTTATTTACTCTTGTTGTGACCCATGTGAACTGAGTGGGGTATGTCGTGAACCGAGTGGGGTATGTCGTGAGCCGAGTGGGGGGTATGTCGTGAACCGAGTGGGGGGTATGTCGTGAACCGAGTGGGGGGTTGTCGTGAACCGAGTGGGGGGTATGTCGTGAACCGAGTGGGGGGTATGTCGTGAACCGAGTGGGGGGTATGTCGTGAACCGAGTGACGTATGTCGTGAGTGGCGTATGTCGTGAACCGAGCGGGGTATGTCGTGAACCGAGTGGGGTATATTGCTGAATATTCTTCGCTCAGAACGGCCGCTGATCGGCTGAAGTCGCCCAAATCGTGCCCTACCTATGGGATAACTCCCTGTGCACCACCTTGCTGTGTCTATTACGCATTGTGTCTATGTGGACGCTGTCATTGCAGGTACTACGGAGCTGAGTCGTGTGGATGTGGTCGACACAAACTCTCCAAAGGAAGTGCTGCACAGTTTCCCTGTCGGTACGTCTCCGATCCTGGCCGCTGCGTGTGTGCCAGGCATTGAAACAGGTGAGGCCTAGTCCAACCTCTAGGAGGTGAAGTCGTCATTGATGTTGCTGAATACAGATTCCGTGCTGTTTGGTAGTGTGAAGACATGGTGACTTACTCCAAGCGTGCTGCTCTCTCTCTCCTCCTCCTCTCTCTCTCTCTCTCTCTCTCTCTCTCTCTCTCTCTCTCTCTCTCTCTCTCTCTCTCTCTCTCTCTCTCCTTCCTTCCTTCTTTATTTCCATACCAGATATTGATGGCGGTGGATTTGTTCACATAGCTGACAGTGGTACAGAGAGTCGCAGTCTAACGCGGGCAGAGATTAACAAGTGGAGAATGAACATGAGTCCAGCACACTCTCCCTCTCACCTAGCTGTGCCCGGCGGTGTGGATGGAGACGAGATGTCGGTAAGACATCATTATGCTCCCGTCCATGGCACAGTTCAGATCAGCAATGCTACTGCTTATCTCCTCTTCTGTGTTGCCTTGCCCCGTGGGATTCATTCATCCTAACCCCTGCTAATCCCTGCTTCCGTGCACAACAGCCTGCGCTGTTGTTGTATTCTTTCATTTTACTTTGTCATGGGCACAGGTAATGCTGCCTTCTCATCGGAGGGTGAAACTCCCCATTCCTGCCAAAAACGAAAAAAGCGTTAGTGGGGTGTATGGGTCTTTCTAATCATTTCCTATTTGCCAGCTCTTGTCTTTCGTTGTTGTTGTTGTTGTTGTTGTTGTTGTTGTTGTTCATCACCCTCTACAGCTTCACAGTGCTCACTTTGCGTCAAGATCCAGTTCAGAGCGCGACCCCCGCAGTCCAGCAAGCAGTAGTCGAGTGACGTCACCCGAAGGAGAAGACAACGCACCGCCTGACCCTGATCCTGGCAAGGAGTCGGATCCATCTGCAGGTTAGTGGTGGCACTGTTGTCATAGTGTGGTGATGTCGCCGTAGTCCTGTATTATGGTTGCGGTAGTATATGCATTGCATTGGTTGTGTGTTGCCTGGTAGCCTGCTTTAGAGTAGGTACTGCAGCACCTGCAGAACCTAGATAGTGTGTTGTCTGTGTGACCCTTTTTAGTTTAGATGAAATGTTCATATTCTGTACGGACTGCTAATGGCACTGTGGGTCTCACCCGTGGATACAAGTTTCGCCTGCCCCCCCCCCAGGCTCCAACCAAGCGGAATGAATTCGATACTGCGGCAAATACCGCTGGGTGCACGTGGGACCCGTCGTCCGGACCTTTGGTATGATGCAAACAGAGGCATGAGTGTACCACCTGGTGTGGCAATCTGTGCCTAATATCCCTGTACATGTAGATATTGATAACAAATATGCTGTTGGAGTAGTCCCAAGTACTCATGCCTTCTCTCTACGTAACTCACCCTAGAACAATATAAGCTTACCCTGGAATGATATTAAATTTTCCATTTCTTCTCTTTTCTCGGTTCCTGTTTTAATTTTGCTGATAGATGCTGATGAGACCGACCGTGGTCGTGTGACGTTCAGCACTAAACCGCAAGAGAAGCACGTGCCGTCGGAGATTCTCAACCGTCCCAAGCTGCAGCAGCCCACCATGTGGCTGGGTGCGGAGTTTGGAGCGCTGTACGTGCACTCGGCCGTCAACTCGTGGCAATCCTGCCTGTTTGCTATGAAGGTATAGTGGAGCTCACCATAGTACATACTCTGATAAGACCTATATTTTACATCATTTTATTTTACATATACGTTTAGCTCGCTGACTTGTCAGTTTGAGCACTCTGGCAAAGTACGCTCGGGCCTGGTTTATCAGGTTCGGCCTCATTTTCTCTGTGCTGCGCTGATGAGTCCACAAAGGACGAAACAGTTCTGTCCGCAGATTGAGTATATTTTATCTATTTATTTAGACATCTACTGGCACGTCAAAAAGACGGCCAATTTATCAGTTGAGATGAAGTGTGAGAGCCAACCATGGCACAATGGAATATACAGAGAGGTGGGTTTGCTTAGTACGGACATTGTCCGGGGCACAGTTGTATTGTTCCGTATTGAATTGTGTTCGGATAAGAAGTGCCTTGGATGCTGAGTACTACGCTTTGCTGTTCGGCGTGGGGGTACTTCTCATCAGAGTTCTACAGTACTTGAAGAGGGAGATGGCTGCGATTGTGATACATGTACATGTACTGCTGCTGCAGCCTACACAGCACTCAGAATTGGGGTTCCTTGCACACAAAAATGTGATGTGCTATCGTGATCTGTAGATGTTGATAATGGCCGGACAGACTAGCATGCAGAGCATTAGCATGTGTTCCCCATTTCGTTGCGGATGATACTGTGACCCTGTATGGTTGCTGCTGTCATGGTTGTGATGATGCCCTGTATGGTTGCTGTCATGGTTGTGATGATGCCCTGTATGGCTGCTGCTGTCATGGCTGTGATGATGCCCTGTATGGCTGCTGTCATGGTTGTGATGATGCCCTGTATGGCTGCTGCTGTCATGGCTGTGATGATGCCCTGTATGGCTGCTGTCATGGTTGTGATGATGCCCTGTATGGCTGCTGCTGTCATGGCTGTTGTTGCAGGTGGATGCCTCTGTGCTCAGTATCACCTACACACGCCAGAAGGTGTTCCTGTCGATGGAGAACGGCAGCATCATGGTCTTCCACCGCGATGATGATCAAGTCTGGGACTTTGATAACTATGAAACCATTGACGTGAGTGACCAGGATGCACACACGATTTCCAGTACACCATTATCTCAGTTGAATGTGGCATCTTGTTCTGGACGAAAGGACTAAAAAAAGTGATGCGCCCAAACGGCGTTGGCTGCTGTTGCTGGTGTTCTATTTTAGAAAGTCAGTGTGATGTTGGTTGAAATTGCAAAGAAAAAAAAGAAAGCGCCCAACGTGGGGCTCGAACCCACGACCCTGAGATTAAGAGTCTCATGCTCTACCGACTGAGCTAGCCGGGCTGCTTGGCAGGACTGTCAGTGACGCATATCCTGTCCTCGTATGCCCAGCGTCGGGTGGTTGACTGAGCCCCTAGGCTGAGGAGCCTCTCAGAGCGGCCTCAGTTGTGCCTCGGAGACACTGTAGTCAACAGTTCAGGATTTCAAACCCAAGACAGGACCGGTGGAAGCAGATGTTGTTTGGTGTACCGATAGCATATGCGGCTGTAATGTTGTGGATGACATAGTAAACAGAGACGACCCACTCAGCAGTAAACACAGTGACACGTTGGTGATCATGAAGTTGGTCCCACGACAGCCGGATCACGCAGACTGGCTCTGCCGTGCCTGCAAGAGTAGCATTTTATGTGACGTATGTGTGTGTGTGTGTGTGTGTGTGCGTGCGTAGATAGGTAAGTATATTGCAGCATTCCATGCGACTTGTAAAAAGACTTGTGTCCGAGTATGTGTGTACATTTACTACATTGTCACGTCTGTCACCATGGGCTGGGGAGGCAAGGGAAGCATTCTGTGTGATTTTTGCACATGTGTAGATTGGCAAGTCGATCGCAGCATTCTGTGTGACTTGTGTATGTGTGTGTGTGTAGATTGGCAAGTCGATCGCAGCATTCTGTGTGACTTTTGCATATGTGTGTGTAGATTGGCAAGTTTGTCACGATGGGTGACTGGGAAGGCAAGGTACCGGCCACAACAATCCTGGCGGTGGACGATGCGGTATGGTGCGGTGTGGGCAACTCTGTCGTCGTCCTGAACATCGACACACATGAACTGGTGGTAAGTTAGTCAAGGGAGTGGTTCATCTGCATTGTAAAGGGTGTGTGTGTGTGCTGCACCCATGTTACCCTCACTCCGAGTAGTGAGTGCCCAGTTTACAGTGGGTGTCGGCGCACTTCATTGCATGTAAAGTGATTCACGCATTCATCACCGCATTTGTTAGCACAGTACACGCTCCCTGCTGCCAACGCGGGTCTCGAACTAGGGACCTTGTGATTTGCAGGAAAGGCCACAATCACTCGGCCAAAGCACCGGTTGCGCACTATTGATATTTTTTTTAAACAGCACAAATTCAGGACCATCAGCCCTTGCCCTCTGCCATGTGCACATTGTACAGAACATGGTGCTGGTCTGTCACGTCCTGTAGCTACTAGCCCTTCATACACAGGACGTCACGTGATATCCTCATTGAGGTGCTGAAGCCCGGAAGAGTCAAGCCCAGTAGATGCCTGAAGTGCATTCCTGCATTGTCACCGATTGCCGTGTGGATTGGCTCCAAAGCTTGGAAAGAATAGACTTCAT